CTCCACCCCATCTTCCAGACAAAGCACCGAGATGCGCCCCCCCCCAAACTGTGTGTGCGGGGGAGACCCCAGCCTGTGCCCTGTCTTTGCAGGGGTCCCATGGTCCCCGCACAGTGTTAATGTGGCCCTGCACAGGCTAATTTGCCCTGGGACCTGCACCCCACTAGGGTCAGCTCTGGCTGTGGCTATAATCCTGACCCCTGGGTAAGGGCTGGAGTCTGAGCCACAGAAGCCCCCTGACTCCTCACTGTCCTTGTACACAATTCTAAGATGAGGGGCACTTTTCCTTCATGTTAAATCCGGGAAAAAGCTTGTTTTAGAATCAAGTAAATCAAGTAGGTAGTAACAGGAAATTCTATATTCAAGTCGGTAGAGAGATAGTTAAAAAAGTAAAACACTTAGTCTATTTGTGTGGCCTTTCTGGCCACTAATAAAAGGGAGAAAAGACCTTCTTTTCCTTTATTTTATGTATTGTATGTACTTTCATTATTAGACAACATCATGCAATCAGATTCTAAAACAAAGGCTTTGATAAATGGATTGTGTTAAGGGATATTGATGGGAATCTTCTGCAACTAAGATGTCTCAATCTTAATTATTGCATGTAACATGACCTTCTGCTTCAGATTTTCAAATAAATGCAAGTGTTTAAAAGTTTAAATTATTCAAAGAGCTGCATTAGTCTTTGTTTTGTTCTATTTTTTTTAAGAAGCAAGGAAACTCTTAAAGTTACTAATTTCTGGAAATAAAAGAAGCTTAGGGATATAACAAGAATCAAATTCTAACTTAAGTGGGGTTTCTCTTTTTGGATGTGAGAAAATGATTTTGGGTTCCTGAAATAGAAATGGCATCTGAACCTAAAGAGATTGAGCCATCTCTTTTGAAATGTTAATATCTTAAAATGTAGTGATTTTTTTTTTTTCCCTCCCAGCTTTTTTACAGAAGAATAACATTTTAAAATGTCCTTTTTTGTTCTTTTACATGAATATTTTTACCATAGCTGGAATTTACAATGCAAGAGGCTGTACAGTGCCTACATACTTTGGAAGAGTATTGTCCCTCTAAAGAAGACTACAGTAAACTATGTTTGCTACTCACATTGCCTCGTCTGACCAACCATGCAGAATTCAAAGACTGGAACCCCAGTACTGCACGAGTTCACTGTTTTGAAGAAGCCTGCATCATGGTAGCAGAGTTTATTCCTGCTGACAGAAAAGCAAGTGAGGCTGGCTTCAAAGCAAGTAACAATCGTTTATTTCAGCTTGTAATGAAGGGATTACTTTATGAATGTTGTGTGGAATTCTGTCAGAGCAAAGCAACAGGAGAAGAAATTACAGAAAGTGAAGTATTGCTTGGCATTGACCTTCTTTGTGGTAATGGGTGTGATGACTTAGACCTAAGTTTATTGTCATGGCTTCAGAATCTGCCAGCTACTGTTTTCTCTTGTGCATTTGAACAAAAAATACTTAATATTCATGTTGATAAACTACTCAAGCCCACAAAAGCTGCATATGCAGATCTGCTGACACCTCTTATCAGCAAACTGTCACCTTATCCATCATCCCCAATGAGGCGGCCTCAGTCTGCTGATGCTTACATGACTCGTTCCTTAAACCCTGCCTTAGATGGGCTATCGTGTGGATTGACGAATCACGATAAGCGAATCACAGATCTTGGAACCAAAACTTCTCCAATGTCACACTCCTTTGCTAATTTCCATTACCCTGGAGTACAGAATCTAAGCAGAAGTCTGATGCTTGAAAATACAGAGTGTCATAGTATTTTTGAAGAGTCACCTGAGCGGTAAGTTTAATTTAATTAAAGGGTTTTTTTTTTCCAAAGTGAAAAAATTAACAGAAATGTAATACATTTGACCTATATTTTATTTTATTGGTGTCAGTATTTTAGTGGCACTTGCAATTTGATAAATGATAAGAGAATTGCATCTGATTTGTGTAAATTGTGCTGAAATTAGACTTTCAAAATAATAAATGTTTAAAAAAATGGATTTGAGCATGAAGGTTTGAATCTAGACTCCCTCAGAGATGTTAGAACTTCATACTTCTGCTATGAAATTGAACAAATCTAAAACCAGATGAATACTAGACTTTCATTATTGATACTCTTTTTTGACTTACTACATTTGTGGGTATGTTATGGCATGTGAGTTGAGGCGTAAAATATTGCAAGAGAACTTTTTTTTTTTTATTTCATATAGTAGCAAAGCAGCTCATTGTGTTCTTGCGGGGAAGTGTCTCATTTCAGTGTAATGGTTTTGTTATCTAATACGTTAACGATGTAGAAGATGAAACTATGTTCAGTAGTTTCCTCAGAATTCCTGAACTCTGTATTTTAATCTGTGTAGCCTGTAGCAGTGGTTTTCAACCTTTGTTAATTCGGGGGCCCCTTTGGAAATTTTGAATAGAAGTATAGACCTTTAAATTGCAAGTGTGGGTATTCACATACTTTTGATTGATCATAACCATCTTTCACTAACCCCTTGGCCATAGTCCAGGGACCCCCAGGGGTCCTCAGACCACAAGTGGAAAGTCACTGGCCTATAGTCCCACCTTCATGCTTCTCAATGGATAAGCAAAGTATTCACAAAGTGGCACTACTTCATACTGTGCGGGCCGCCTCCCGATCTCGTCCATGTCGCCAGGTGCAAGCCGGGAGTGATATGCGGACCTGTTTTTGCGCACGCGGGCTGTGGCCAGCAGCCCGGGCACGTGGGGTCGAAGAAGACCGGTGGCGAGCTGGAATTAGTTATGGACGCATAATGGTTGATTAAAAGATTGTTTACTTACACCAAAGATGGTCGTGGTGTAGGCTGGACAGTTTTCCAGGCTCAGCTCTGCTTAAATCCTCGCTAGAGGACTCCGACAATTGACCCCGGAGTGGTTGAAGCTCCGCGGGTTTGGCTCGGTAATTGGCCCCGGAGTGGTTGAAGCTCTGCGGGTTCGGTACTTTCAAAGGAAAGGGATTGCGCTCGGCGACGGGGAGAGGCTAGAGGCCGTTTGGCCCCCGGAGTGGTTGAAGCTCCGTGGGTTCGGTAAATAGGCCCCCGGAGTTGTTAAGACTCCGTGGGTTCGGTAAATCGGCCCTCTGTTGCCCTCTTAAGGAGAAGAAAAAGCTGGGTTCGAAGGGATTAGCAGCACTTAGAAATCTTCACGCTCTTTCTCCCAAACTCCAATTGCTTTCTCTCTCTCTCTCCAACTTGGGCGGAAACCACCCAAGCTCTTTATACGGCTAGCAAGCCAATCGCTAGCCGCCACGTGTGCCTATATTAAGATCGGCCAATAATGTGGCGCAAATCTTAATACAAATGGCGGGAACTCCTTTGCACTGTGCATCACTATGATGCAAAAGAAATGCACCATGCAAAGAAGGCTATAAACGGCGGGAAATATTCTTTTGCACGTGGGTTCTCCTATTGCAAAAGAAAACTCCACTGTGTAAAGAAGCTGCAATTTGGTGGGAACATAATTTAGCGGTGCCGAAGCACACAAAAACAAAAAACCACAACTTTGGGTTGTGACACATACCAATTATCCTGGCAAATTTAGGACCTCATGCTGTAATAATTAAATGCATAATAAATTTTGAAGGTGATGGAACTATGTATGTGTGTTTGTTAACAGGAGCAGAGCCTTAGATATCAGCTCTGTAATATTAGAGACTTAAGAAACTATAATTGTATTAATAATATTTTAATAATAATTTGTTCTTCAAATGAAATCTTAGCAAAACTATCACATTTGCTTCTTTATTTCTGTAGAAAAGACTTCTAGCTAATCGGGTGCAATGCTAATGAATGCTGTAGAAACTAGTCATTACCTCTTATTAGTAGGGACTGATATGCAACGCTGATGTCTCTCATTCAAAAACAAACTATAGCAGGATCCCTTCTGCTATGTGTGTGTGTGTGTGTGTGTGTGTGTTTAATGGTAGTTAACTTAAGGGGGTTTTGCTTCTGATTCAAAAGCTTCTTGTTTTGTTTGTCTTCCTTTTCCCATGCCCCCCTAGAAAGCAGCTGCAACAATTTATGAAATAGTTCTCAATGGGAGCATCTACACAAGACATTTACTGCTCAGTTGACTAATTAACTGCACAGAAAACATCTGTGTCTACCCATACACCCCTATGAGGGTGCACAAAACTAAAACTCTGCAGCAGGGTATGGTAAATACAAGTCCTGCCCTGCTGCAAAATTTGTTTGTTTGGGGGTTTTTTCATGTGCAGTAGACACTGAGGTGACTGGCTGGGGCTACCTGCCGGCTAGCCTCACAGTGAAGCATCCTCATGCCACAGCCAGCCCCTCTGCATCACATGGAGTGTGGTTGGAGCAGCCCTGGGCTGTTGGCTGTCAGCCTTCCCCGCCCCTCCCCATGCCTCTCCTCTCCTGGCTACCTGCCAGCCAGGGCTGATGTGACCTGGCTTGATGTGCTGTAGTCTGGGCACACGTGTAAACCCGTGTGCCTGGGAGCTTCCTAGGAGCAATAAATAAGCTGTGGAGCAACAAGCACCCTTGTTCTCCTGCACCCTTGTTGCTTCCTTAATTCTACAAGAGAGAAATGGGCCGACAAGGTTCCTTGGGTGAATTTGATATCTTTTATTAGACCAACCCAAATGGTTGGAGAATAGTTATTCAGCAAGCTTTTGGGTTCAAAAACCCTTCATCAGGCTCAGGAAGCTGCAGCAGTTGGTGTGTGCTCTTCCTGGATGGACCATTTGGGTTGGTCTAATAAAAGATATCTCTCTGAATCTTGTCTGCCTATATCCTTAGACCAACACGGCTACAACCTAAACCCCTGCAACAAGAGAGAAATAGCACTCTAGATCCATGAATTGGCAAGCAGGGGGCACTCTAAGGAGACTGTTACTGAATCTGATCTGAAGCAGCATTCCTGATTCTACTTTTGCAAAGATCAATTACAGATGAAACAGATGTTAACAAAAATCAGTGCAATAATAATTACAGAGATCTTAAGTTTCATTCTCAATATGATGAAAGATCTTTAGAATCTTTTGAAAATATTTTTTTTCAATTTGAGACTTAGAGCTGTTGGCTCCTTAACTTGTATAATGTTATTGCTTTCAAAACCTTGTACAGCATAACTCAGGCACATAGGAAATTTTCATAATTTTCCAAATGTGGTCACTAGTTGACTGAATTGTTGCATTTTTGGCACTATTGCAAGCATCTGTGTCTTGAAAGTAGGTCTTGAAGTGGAATATTGTATGAAGGAGTCTATATTTGGGTAACATTTGACTTTTCCTTTTTTCCTTCCAGTTTTGGTATACTTTAGTAATTGATTCTACATGATGCATTTATTAAGTGAAATTTATATTTCTAGTCTACAAGAAGCTCTTCTGAATTATTAATCTTTAGTCCTGCAAGCACTCTTTATACAAAGGATTTGGATGATCAGAACCTTAATTTGGTGTTAAGTATAGCTGACACGATTGCATTTTTTTTTTTTTTGTTTTAGTGTAGTTAAATTAACTTGCCTTGAGCGCCAGAAGTAAACAGAGCCAGACTTCAAAAGTGTTCTAAACCTTCAGTCGGAATCCCAATTTCAAAAGGACTTAGCTTTTAGTTATGCATATAGATTAAGTAGTTAGATTATCAAGAATGGGAGCATCTGGGTTTATTCTGGTCTCATGCTTCAGCAGAAATATTTGCATTACAGATTTGTCTTCATTTTATATATATATAAATGGGAAGGTTCTTAAGACTTGCTTGTTAGCCGGATGATAAAATTTATCTTGGCTAATGTACATAAATACCAATATATTTTAAAATAATGCAGTGGAGGAAGCCTTCTCCAGACCAGTAAATATCTATAGTTTTTTTTCCAGGTTTCAGAACGCTTTCAAAGTGTCCAAATTTTAATGTATTTTGCAGGTTATTGACTGCTAAAGCATTTTTCAAGTATTTCCATCTGGAAATACTTCTCCAGGCTAATTCACAAATACTCTGTAAATTAAAATAACAGTAGTGACATTAGGGATAGTCTGGTTTACCTACTTCGAGTGTCATATAAAGTTAACCTTTTCTACTAGTAGTAGTATTTACAGTATTGACCTCTAGCAACAGACAAGTAACATGTTACAGGCAATGTTATACTTTGTTGTCTCTGTTAACCTGACATGCATGCTGCAGAAAGCAAAACTTCCTGTTGCTTTGAGTAACATGGTGGGGACATTGCTGTATAGTAGGGTCAAACTCATCAGGGACTGGCTGCACACTGACCTTGGGTTGTGCCAGCAGTGTTGCGGTTGGATGAGTGGTGTCAGGTGTCACAGGTGTTAACATAGCCATCAGTTGCCCCCTGCTGCCAGTGTTCCCCAGTTGGGTTCTGTACCCCAGATTGACAGTGGACCCCAACCAACCCTTCTCGCCACACCTCTGCTGTATAGAGTAAGTGACAGTTACAGATGCCACATGACAGACTCATGCATTCGATGGGCCTCAAATTTTGTTTCTCCTAAGCAGTAACTTTTGGCTTCATCTAGAGTAGTTTTTACGTAGTATTTGTCAGGTTTTATCCTAGGGATGTTAATCCATTTGTAGTTATTTAAAAGACTTTCTGCTCTTCTAGAGCAGATTTCTCAAATAAGCCACTGCTTTCTCTTTACATGTCAATGAAAGAAGTGACACTCCCGTGGAGCCACAGCATTCCATTGGCAGTGAGACTTTGTGCCAGAGTTCAGTTCCAGAGAATGAACCAGTAAATGGAGCACAGAATCAAGGACCAGCCAAACAAGAAAAAAATGAGGTAATATTTGATCATTTCCAAATAATGTGGTCCTTTGAGCCGCCTGCTCTAATAAACAGTATAACAATATTTCTTCTGTGCGGAGAACTTCATTCATGTATATGACATTTTCAGTCTGGGTGCTTTTGAAACTTGTTCTGCTTTTACAAATATGCTTACAATGTAAGATGCAACCTAAGCAGTTATATTTCCATTAGATTCACTTGTGCTTTTTTAATGACTGGATAAAGGCATCAGCTTACAGTGTCCTTACTTTTGAACTGTATTTACTGTATTTAAAAATGTAGGCCAGTATTCATAGCTGGAATACACATTTAAATAATCTGATTTGAAAAAAGCCATTTTTGTAAGCTGCTTTTAACAAAGAATCTGTCTAAAACTTCATTGCAGTTAGTTGCCTTGGGATAGGCAGCGTTAACAACCTGAAGGATTCTTGTCAGTGACAACTGAGAAATGGACATTCAGTACTTCCAACTGAATGGGACAGTCTTACTGAGAATACAAAGACCTACTTATGAAGCATTACATGACTCTTAAGCGTTGTTAACTAAATTGTTATTTAGCTTTGAGTTGCTTAACGTTTTATACATCAGTAAACTTTAAGAAAGATATAGTGGGTCTTGATAAATTTACCAGGTGGTAAATAGTAAGGGAACAAAATATAGTGGTTGGAATCCAAGGGTTTTAGAGGTTCATGTCACTGTACCTAGCCTGCTCCTCTCTGGAGGGGGAAGTGGGGGCAGGGAGCAGAGCAAAGGTTTAATGACATTTTGTTGAAATGAAACGAGAATTGCCTACCTCTCTACTTCCTACCATTCCACAGATCTATCTGCCTCATTAGTCAGTGACAGAATAGGGTTTTATCTGAACACTTACGTTACTATTTAGTAGTGAAATAGTAAAGTACAAGGACTAGGTTTGGTCAGATTATAAACTCTAGGGGTTTGGTTGCTTTTTTGTTTTTGTTTTGGTTTGTAACTCACTGTGGTCTTTATCCTGTACTGAAATCTTCCTCTTAAAGGAAGGCATCCAAGCGGCATTAAAAATATAGTTTAACAGTACTTGTCTGTTCTAGACACTATGGCTGCTTGCAGGCATAGAAGGAAAAAAAACCCAAACACTCCTTTACTTTTAAATTTGGCATGTTCCTGTGCTGAGCCCAGCACATGGCCAGAAGAGGCGGCATGTTAGTTGCTCCTGGCTTTCCTGTCTGTAAAGATTGGGCACTTCAGTGGGGTTTTTGGCACTTTTTATCTAGTAGCTAATTGACTCGGCTTTAGATAAAAGCACCAAAAAGCCCTGAAGTACCTGATCTATGTAGACGTTGCAGAGCTGAATCCAACTAATGTGCTGCTGCTTCCAGTAAAGTGTGGGGGGGATTTTTTGTTGCTGTTGTGGGTTTTTGGGTTTTGTTTTTTTTTTTGTCTGCAAGCAGCCTACTTGTGCTAGGCTGTGGGACAACTAAGAGAGGACTGGCAGGAGTTATGGTGGGCTATATCACTAATGAATGACTTCCCTACTGAAATAATGTGGGGAGGGGCTGGATTTGGGCATGGGGAAGATCTGAGGCAGCCACTTTTCTAAGTAAGGGATGTTTCCTCACTATGGAAAAGCAAAACATGCAGAGGCGAATGAAGACAGGAGACTTTTTTTGTTTTGCCTGAAGATGCTAGCCACCTACTACTGGCAGATAGAACAGAATACAGTTCTGAATTTTGAAGGGTTAACTGTGAGGCCAGAGCCAGTTGGACTCCCAGGGAACACAGCTAAGCTACTTGAGAGCCCAGGGTTTGGCAACTGGTTTGGAGCTTAGGTAGCCATACTTTAGGGTCCCATGGTTCCAAAAGGGTGCCAGATGTGGGCTATGTACTTGAAATGAGTTTTTAAAGACCTAGAACTTGCAATAAGCTATACACAGTGAGACTAGTTGTCACTCAGGCATGGGAGATCCAGTTACAGTAGGTTGGAGTAACTTTGTTTTCCTTTACAAAAATTCTGGTCTTTAAAGGTTGGCCTTTAAGACTGTAGTAGGACATTGTACTTCCTATTAGTGAAAATCTGCTCTGAAAGCAGAACTGTCTTATTTAAGCAACAGATCAACATGTATATTTACTTACTTTTGCTTCAGCAAATTATCTTTGCAGTACTTTACTCCATGCAGAAAAGTAAAAGCTTAAGACAAAAACACTACTCCTGTTAATAAAATTTGATGTCTGTATTCTTTCAATGAGAACATAAATGTAACTTTTCAAAACTACACCTTAAACTTAATATTTAGATTCTTTTGCCTTCCTTCATACAATTTTTTTCTTTCAAGGCTAAAGAGTATGTTGAAGGATTTTATTTCTCAGCAACACCATTAAACTTAGCAATTTTCCATGTCTCCTCCCAAACCCAAATAGAACACATTTAAGTTTTAGTATGTTGCTGTGCTTTTTGGTAAGTTGTAACCTATTAGTTTTAGGTTAAAAATAAAAATATTGCTCCCCAAAGGTGATTGTATAGCATGTATGTTTATAACAGTACAGGGAATTAAAAGTATATAGTTGCAATAATTAACTTTAAATTTGTCTTACCCAAATAACATTATTTCTTTAAGCTTCGTGATTCAACAGAGCAATTCCAAGAATATTACAGGCAAAAGCTACGTTACCAGCAGCATTTGGAGCAGAAAGAGCAACAACGACAACTGTACCAGCAAATGTTGCTAGAAGGTGGTGTAAACCAGGAAGATGGAGCAGACCAGCAGCAAAATCTAACTGAACAATTTCTTAACAGGTTGGTTTTAGTTATCTGTAATACTTGCTAACCACTGCATGTTCTCGGTAATAAATTGCCACCAAATCATGTAAATGGTAGAAGTACACCAATACATTGGTTGCCTATTGGGTCGACACTGATAAAAGGGAAATTTACATCATTGGCTTTTTTTGGTCATTGTAGCTGATTTTAAGGTTTTCCTATAATTTATATCTTCTGGCCAGGGCCCACAGATGCCTGGGTTCCCTCCCATGAGCTAGGGTGATCCTGGGTACTCTCCCATCCCCTCACCTGGATACACTCCCATCCCCTAAATTTATTAGGGGAGGTCAACGGGGAATAGAAGAAGCGCTGTCTACTAGGGCGCCCCAGGGAGTGACTAGGACGAATGGGTGTAAACTAGCTGAGTGGATTTAGACTAGATATTGGGAAGAAATGTTTCACAGTAAGGGTGGCCAGGATCTGGAATGGGCTTCCAAGAGAGGTGGTGCTATCACCTAGCTTGGAGGTCTTCAGGAGGAGGCTAGATAGTCACCTGGCTGGGGTCATCTGACCTCGGTCCTCTTTCCTGCCAGGGGCAGGGGGTCGGACACGATGATTCATTGTGGTCCCTTCCGACTCTACAATCTATGAATCTATGAACCAGCGGGCTGGGCTGGGCTGGAGCAGCTGCCGCAGTGTCCCAGGAGCTGATGAGGCACGGACTGTGGGCTGGAGCAGGTGCTGTAAAAGATGCTGAATGCCACAGACGTGACAGGGGTGAGGAGGGGTGGATGAAGCTGAGCTACCCAGCCCAACATGACTCAACCCGCAGTTAAGATTGGTTTTCAGATCAGTATTGGCCACTATGGCTGGTTAATATTCAGCTGTCGGTATTGGCCAAGAAAATCTTTATTGGTACACCCCTAGTATATGAAATTGGTGGTTTGTGAATATTGGGAGATATTCAAAATTCCAGGTATGGAATTTTTTTATTTTTTTTTAACGCCTCAAAAATGCATGGTTAACTAAAAATGTTCTTGTGTGTATGGGAGGAGGAAGGGGATGATCCTACCAGTGAAGAATTGCAAGCTAGAAAGACATAACTTTAACTACACTGTTGTGAACAGAAATGAGTGGAAGAAAAAACACACTTTTTTTTAATTTAGCCAAATAATAAAGGTACATTTTGAATGAGATAGGATTATTTTTGCATTTGTTTTCCTCCTTAAGATGCTTTTAGTAAATCTGGTAACTGGGGAAGGTTTCTCTCCATGTTATCTTATGGTAGACAACTTCTAAGAATATCTTGCATTTGGAGGCTAATTTGTAGATGGCATCAAGTATGTCTTAGCTCAAAGTGAACCATTGCTATTTTCTCAAATCGGAGGCTTGCTGCACCGCAGATGCACATGATGCACAAGACTGCCATACCACATCAATTTATGTGATTAATCAAGTCTGCTCTGGTGTGCTGGATTTCCAGCCCCCAATTCCTGCCCCCACTCCTTGCAGACCCTACCTGATTTCCTCCCTCTCCCCATCCTGACTTACCTTAGATCGGGTATCCATTTTTAACTTGGTCTAAACACCCCCTAACCTCCCCAAAGGGTCTGTGTGTAGCTTTAAGCACTTACTTGATTTCAGTGAAACCCCTATCTTAAAATAATGTCATTACATATATGCTTGCAGTTAAATGAGCATAGAAGTTGTGGCTTAACCTTTTTTTCTTTTACTAAAACCAGACAAAATGGATATGTTGGGGGGAAAAGAGAGGAAAACTCAAGGAAACTTATTCTAGAGGTCTTCTAGTGAAAAATATTAATTCATAAGTACAGTTTTACTCCTGATATTTAAACCCATATTGCTTTGCTTTAGAGTAAGCTGATTTTAATTTAGGGATAATCCATTTTTAAGAAATAAAATCTATAGATTCCAATAATTTTCAGAAACAGTAATTTAAATGACTGTTAACTAGCATTTGGGAACAGAAGGTGATTACAAAGCAGAGATTTACCATACAACCTTGAAAAAATAGATACTTTCTATACGTTTTCATACAGAAAACGCTAGTTAAACTTTTTCGTTTTTAGTTGCTTTGGCTGCTAAGGCTTTTTAGATCTATTTTTGGCTATGTAAAAAATTATCTTTACCCATGGTTTATTGTAATGTTGTTATAATTAGGAACTGGGGGTTTCACACACCTAATTTGAAATGTGCACTATTTCATTGATTAGTTCATAAGACCAAAAGCTAGTTGAAGAAACCTGTGCATGCTTTTGAACTATAACTTTGAACTGTCAGTGACAAAAGGAAGGAATTTTAGCCTTTTTAACTTGGGATTAAATAGATGCAAAATACCCTACCTCCATGTTTAAAAAAATAAAATAAAAAAAATTCAGAAACTTAATCTTGTTAGAAAATAACATTAATTCTAGATGTTAGAACATAGGCAGACAAGGTTCCTTGGGTGAATCTGATATCTTTTATTAGATTAAAATAGTTATTAGGCAAGCTTTTGGGTTCAAAAACCCTTCGTCAGGCTAAGGAGGTTTCAGCAGTTGGTGTGTGCTCTTCCTGGATGGAATGAAAAGTAAAGCAGCCA